AGGCCGGTGTCTCTCTTAATTTAGTTTAAGTCTGGCTGTTCCTGAGCTAAATCGTGCGCAGCTCGGCCGGAGCGCCTTAAATTGACGGTTTCTGAGGTTTCTGTTAGGAAATCAGAATTGGGAAGAGCAGGGGAAAATCCTAAATAGGCTGGCCTGCGTGCTTGCTCTGTGCCTCGCTTGTGTGTATAAACTCCGGGTGCTGCTTTTTCACCTCATCAGGCAGGTCAAGAGTGGATGGGTATTAACATATGAAAAATAAAACCCCATAGCACAAGTGCTGCCTTACAGCTTAACCGATGGTGGCAGAACTGGTTGTCTAGGGTCAGGGTAAGGTGGAATTTTAATCTGACTCCAGGAAACAAACCTGATTAACCCATCAATTTACTTCCTTGCTGCTGTTTGGCATTCTCACAGTGAACATCTTTCCACCATAGAAAAAGACTCCAACGGAGATGCTTTGTGGGTTTGGTGTTATCCGTCCGTAACAGCTGAACTGAGGAGTCTGTTGCTGCGAAAGTGCTGCCTTACAGATGAAAATAAATTGCTCCACACGTTTGTATTCGGCCAGTATAAGAGGTCCTGGTTCTACATCACAACTGTGGAAGTTCAAGATTCTCCAGCCTTGAAAAAGGTAGGATTTGGCCGGCTGGTTGTTCAGTAGAGCTCAGGGAAAACTTCTGCAGAGCTTCCCCAAGCAGTTTGAGCCATGTTTTCCCACTGCGTGTTGTGAGGGAGTTGAGGTTTTTTGGGCTCACACATACTGCTCTTACCGGGCTGTTGAAGCAGTTCACACATCTCATTTTTCACCAAGACATGTATTGGGACTGAGATACTGGTTACCTAATGTAGATTATTTGTATTAAAAAGGAAATACTGTTTCATGCCGTTATTTCTAGTTACTTTGCATTTCAAGTTCAGCATTTTTTCTTTTGTCAAAAGAGCTCTACAGAGGTTCTTTCGTACTAGCCATACTAGAACTTGTTGCCTTTTTTCTTCCCAAAGTGTTGAGTTTTATAGGTTCTTTCTTTTCTGTTGCATGGATAACTGGAAAAACTGCAAATATGGTCGTATCTTCTATGCTTTCCCTCTTATGAAGATAATTGAATTGTCTGTTAAGTTTATTCAGTTTTCATACTTCGTGTTATTTGGTTAAGTAGAAGGTAAACGTGGTAATTTTGCATGGCCACGGCAGTGCTCCTTGTCTTTCATCGCTGCAAGCTTACGTCTTCTACGAACCTTAAAGGTATAGGAAAAAGTAAAACGAAGTGTCCTACAGTGGCAGTGGAAGATGCTATTTAAGGAAGACACATAAGCCTGGTCATTGTCTGCAGACTTTTAGCCTCATACTCTCCCAGCCCCCAGTCATTTCATTAAGGAAGTTAAAGAGGATTTCCGTTTGTGGCCCTGCTATCCATGTTGTTTCTTTCCCGTTCTCTTTCAAAATACGCTGATGCTCTCTGCACCCTCCGTTTGCAACAAATTCCAGAAGTTCCTACTTGCTGTGGGGAAGAAAAATACCTTTCTCTTTTTTAAAATGGTCTGAAGAGATTAAAGGAAAGCAACTCTTATAGAATAGATTAAGAAAAAGATAGCTTGTGTTAGAGCTGACTCAGTGGAAATTAGTCACATCAGAAATCTATATCTGGGCCTTTTCTGTGGTTGGTAACTTGGATCTGCTGCTACTGCTTACCTTTTTTTTGTTTGGTTGGGTTTTTTTTGTTCAAAACACCTTGTCAGAGTACTGCAGTAAGTTCAATAATGTGGAAAAGACTGGTTGTATGGGATCATTAAATCAGCTGCGTGTTTTTCTGTGTGTGTTTCTTGCCCAGGTGACCCACTTCTCCATCGTGCTGACGGCCAAAGACTTCAACCCCGAGAAATACGCAGCCTTCACTAGGATATTGTGTAGGTCTGTATAAAAGCTGCTTTGAGGTATTGCTGTGTGCGTGCTTTGGTCTTGCCAAGGCAAAAGATAAAATTTTATTATGGTGTGTTTGCATTTGGTGTAACAATCTGCTGGAAAATTTTTCCTGCAGACTGTGACTCATATAAACCCTTGATTTGTGCTTATGTTGAGTTCGGGGAAGAAGTATTGGGTGATTGTCAGACATCCCGTAGGTTTTAAGGTGTATTCTCCAGCCCCTCACCCCCCACCACAAACACGTGCTTATCTTCTCTGAGAACATATTTGTAAAAAGGTTAAACATTGGAGAAGAGGTCGGTAGTCAAAGGTCGCCACGTGCATGGCGGGCAGCTTGCATCTCTCCGCAACATCTCGGCTCCAGACACTTGTTGCAGCTCCTCTGAACCAAGGAGAGCTTGGTTTTTGCTTTCCTCTGGGAAAATGAGAGCCCTGTGCCTCCTGAGTCCTGTGGCTCTGTCTTTTCTCTTTTTACAACCAGACTGCCATATTCTCCTCCCCTTGTCCTGTTTACTCACTTTCCTCCATGTCCCAATTCTCCTGATCTCTCCTGCATCTTTCTTTGCTTTTCCTTCAGTTCCCAGATGAGGTGGGTTCCAGCTTTTCGTACCAAGAGTGTTCCCTGAGATTTTGCAGTTAATTGGATGCAGTTGTGAGATTATTGTGTCACAGACTTGGGAGTGCTGTCAGGGTTATCAGTTCTGCAGGGTGTTGAAAAACTGAGATTGTTCTATTTCACCAATACCTGAAATACTTAGATTCGATGTGACTCACATTACTGCTGATTTATCAGCTAATTCTTCTTTTTAAGTCCAGGATGGCTTCCTCTAAATACGATAATTGAGTTTCAGGTGGGACATAACCTTACTATAGCTAATGTGGAAAACAGGTAGTTGAGAGCTTCAGGGTTATTCCTGAAGTACCTTAACCTCAAAAATAGGTTACGGTGTCTCTTTCCTTTCTGGAAGACAGATACAAGTGTGTAGATTTTGTTGGCGTGTGGTTGTTTTGTGGGTTTTTTGAGTTGGTTTTTTTTTTTTTCTTTTTTCAAACGAGCGTCAAGGACATGTTTATATTTTTCTTTCATAGTTTAACAAAGTGTACAGAAGAATGTCTAGTGATACTTAGATAACAAAACTAGTCCCATGGTCTGCATGTAATAATAGAAGTTAGTGTAGTAGTTGCCTTTTCATAAAGCAAGTGCCTTCCAAGTCTGCAAAGGATCCTTAGTCTGGACACGTGCTTACCCCTATGTGCTGTGTTTCTACGTTAGTAAATGTTTCTTTTATAAAACAGAAAATGCAAATAAAACTACAGGGTAGTTTTTAATCCTAAAAGACCTGTGTGCTGTTGAAAGACTTCTAGTTTAGTATTTAAAACCTCAACTGGGCATCCAAAATGGGAATTCTTGCCAATAGTATTGATAATTATGGTACTGTGATTTTTTTTTTTCATGTCTGCTGGTACTGATTATAGTCAAAATACCAAATTCTCTTCTTTTCACACAGAATCTACTTGAAGCATGGAAGTCCAGTTAAAATGATGGAGAGTTACATTGCAGTCCTTACAAAGGGGATCTGCCAAAGTGAAGAAAATGGCTCTTTCCTCAGCAGGGATTTTGATGCTCGGAAGGCTTATCTTGCTGGTTCCATCAAAGGTTAATTAGTACCAGAAGCCTCTATTCTGATTTCTTTTGTACAACATAAAATACAATCCGGTTTTCATGTGTACTTTAAGTAAATACTGTTAACAGTATCATCTGTGCTGTTATTATTAAACTTCTTCAAAAAAGCAGATTATAATATCAGCATATATATCTTCTTTAAAATATTTTCCCTCTCTTTTCTAGATATAGTATCTCAGTTTGGGATGGAAACAGTTATCTTATATACAGCATTGATGCTAAAGAAGAGAATTGTAGTGTACCATCCTAGAATAGAAGCTGTCCAGGAGTTTACCAGGTACTTTGTCAATCCTTACCTCCCCACCCACCCCTAAAAGTCCAGCAAGTCTTGAACCTTCATTGAGATAAATGTCTATAATAATAGTACAACAAAAAAATCTTTGCTAAACCTGTTTATTGAAATCCTGCTAAATACGTTTTAGGGCTCTGGCCATATGTTTGTCAACTTGGAAAAAATTAACTGTAGAAGGAGCAATAAACTCTGCTTGCATTGGTAGTAGAAATGTCTGTAGTTCATGTATACATGTGCCAAATAAGACGTAGTCATGGTAGTTCTTTCTTATGACATGCATTTTGTACTGTGAAATTTTAATTAGTATAAATAAAAATCTCCTGTGTGTCAAGTACCAATCTGATTTCCCTAGGACTTTGCCTGCTTTAGTGTGGCATCGACAAGACTGGTCAATTCTTCATTCCTATGTGCATCTAAATGAGGAGGAAGTAGAAGCCTTAAAAGCCTGCACAGGTAGTAATAACTTATTAATCAAAAATATAAGGAAATTTTTTTTGTTTCAGTTTCTTTTGCTGCAAGGTCTTGCACCAGTGCTTTTGGAGGGGAAAAAAGGTTACTTTGCTGTTAATGCTATTTTTCAAAGTTAAACAGAAAAGGCAAATTAAACAAGTATGTTAGAAGATAACTAGTTAATGTGCTGTTTCTGGGTGGATCTGCATAAGTCTGTCCCTCATCACAGATGCAAAGCAGCTTTGAGACTTTTTTGATGCTGTGATTAGAGGTATTGAAAGTCTTCCGGTTGCACAGAAGTAGCTCACTTTAGATAAGCTACTTTTTTCCCTCCCCTGTTTTCTACACATAGGTAGAAACTGAATTGGTAGGATTTTTTTTTCTCCACACTTCCTAACTCTGAAGTTCCAAAATGTTTATTTTGTCTGCTGCCAGTGAAGTGTCTGGCTCACAGACAGACTTTAGCAGCTCTGTAGGAGTTTGATCTGTGTGACACATTGCCATGTGTGCACAGTGCTTAACGTGTAATCCAAGAAGAGGCCCTTCGTTTATGTGACGGTTGGCGCGACACCTCCTGTGCCAATTAAGAAGCTTCTCTGTACAGAATAACCATGGAATGGTTTGGGTTGGAAGGGACCTTAAAGATCGTCTGGTTCCAACCCCTGTGCCATGGACAGGGACGCTGCTCACCTTCAGTATTTCTCCTGTATTACTAACAGGGCTTGTTTCAGCTCACTGAATGACTTCCACAGGGAAAAGGGGTGCTCTTAGGTTTACTTACCCAGCACGCTGTGCATAGGAAAACGTGGTTTTATTCCTCTGTTCCAATACTGACCTTGTGACAAGGCGCTCTGGAGTAGAGATTCTTTTAAAGAGGAAGTGTGGTGTCTTCTTCATTTGAAAATGAATAGTATTAGTAGTAAGAGAGTTTTAAATTTCAAATTTTTATATTATGTGTATAGTTAACCGTTTATCCACGTTCAAGGCAATTTTAGAGGTTGATTTTTAAGCTCCTTGGAAGTGAAGTGTTCTGCTTGCTAAAGGACTGATAATATCAGCAGAGCAACCTTCTTGTTCCGATGAGTCAACAGATGTAAGGACTATGGTTTTTCACAGGATCTTGGTTTTGTTTTGGTTTTGTTCACGAAGATCCTAATCTTGCCCAAATTCTGCTCTCTAGGTTACATTGCTGGATTTACAGATTCTGAAGTGAACAGTAGACCAGACCTTTACGATGTGTATGTGAATTTGGCAGATAGTGAGATCACAGTTTCCCCTGTTGTAAAAGGTTGGTTGCTTTCTATATTTTGGATTTACAGGTTGTTTATTCCAGAGCTGATAGTTACTGCTGAGCCTTGCTCTAAGTCAGTCTCGATTCTTCTTCCATCTATGTTCTGAAAAGTCAACGTATAAGCTTCTGTCTTTCAGTTTTATTGAGACCCTGAAAGACAGATGAAAAGTTGGAATTTGGAAGGAAATTCTTCATCTTCCGATAAATGCACAACTGCGGTTTCAAAATGTTCATGTTAGTTATGTGGATGAGATGTTTGGCTGAAAGCAAAGGTACTGCATGAATCTTTAGAAAAACATCGCTCTAAATACTTGGAGATTGGGGACTATTTGAAAGGAAAGCTTGTATGCTCTGAACCGCTTTAGAGGTAGACAATTTGCTTGTGCTGGCTGCTGATACATCAAGTTACTGCCTTTACTAATAGATTTCCAATTGCAGTTGTGAAGAGGACTCCTTGTTTGGGCTCGTTCTTCGTAGGCTTTCCTAGATATCGCAGAAATGGTTATTTTACGTGAGTGTGTGCTTTTTTTTGTTCTTACTCAGAGGCAATGGCAATGGGAAAACTTCACAAAGAAATTGGACAACTAATTGTTCAATCTGCAGAAGATCCAGATAAATCAGACAGCCAAGTCATTAAGGTGAATATACTTTTTTTTCTTTTATTTTTAAATCTAGTTAAATTACTTCTGTCACTAAGTCTTGGTGGAGGGGGGAAGTACGAGGAAGATTGTCCCTGGGAATAAGTTGATCTCTTGTAGCCTCTTTTTACAAATGAGCATTTTTATTCTTTACACAGGTTTTTAAGGATGCTGTAATTGGTTTCTGTTTTCTCTTGTGTAACCACATTGCTGGATAAACTTCAGAATTGTATTAATTAAAAAACTACATGTAAAATTAGTTTTCCAGTTTTACTCTACAGAGAATGTCTTTTGCTCAATACCTTGTCAATTGTGTTGTCAATACCTTTGCAAGAGTCCTACTGAGATAAGGCTTCTCAGCTCTAAAGCCTCATTTTTTTGATGTTTTTGTTATTTGGGTTTGGTTTTTTTCGCTTTTTTATCTAATTGATTATTAGACATTTCACAACTGAGCAACTGAGTCAAAAGAGCAGTTAGGCTGGGGAGAGGAGCCTGTGGAGTGGCTGTGCAGTCTTCATTCAACATCGCACAGGAGCAGGCTGAAGAGCTGTTTCAAGTTTGCCTTAAAATAAATGGGTCTTTGTTTAAAAGTAACTGTTTATTTATAGAATCGTAGAATCATTGAGGTTCGAAAATATCTCTAAGATCATCAAGTCCAACTGTCAACCAAACACTACCATGACCACTAAACTATATCCTGAAGTGCCACGTCTACACGTTTTTTGAACACCTCCAGGAACGGTGACTCCACCACTTCCCTCGGCAATGCCTCACTGCTGTTTCAGTAAAGAAATTAGAATTTAGTAATGTTCAATCTAAACTTCCCCTGGTGCAACCTGATGCCATTTCCTCTTGTCCTATTGCTAGTTATTTGGGAGAAGAGACCACCCCTTGCCTCCCTACAGCCCCCTTCAGGCAGGCGTAGAGAGCAGTGAAGTCTCCTGTCAGCCTTGTCCAGACTAAACAGCCCCAGCTCCCTCAGCCGCTCCTCACAAGACATGTTCTCTAGACCCCTCACCAGCTTCATTTTTCTTCTTTGGACCCTCTCCAGCACCTCTATGTCTTTCTTACACTGTGGTGCCCAGAACTGAACCCAGTGCTCAAGCTGTGGCCTCACCAGTGCCCAGTACCCTGCTCCTGCTGGCCACACCATTGCTGATCCAGGCCGGGATGCTGTTGGCCCACCTGGGCACACTGCTGGCTCCTGTTAGCAGGCTGTCTGCCAGCACCGCCAGACCCTCTTCTGCCAGGCAGCATTATTTTCTTTTTGTTCTGTGTTGTTCTATTTTTGTATTAAGCGTTAAAACACTCTAACACCCAGTACTGTATTGACGGTTGCTTGTTTTTCTGTTCTTTAAGGATATTTCTCTGAAGACAAAAGAAATCTTGGCTACCTTAGCCTCACTTACTGAAGTTTCTGATGGCAGTGAAAAGCGAACCCTTAACTCTGAGGCCCTGAAACAAAAGCGATTTCCGCCAGCTACAGAAAACTTTCTTTTTCACTTAGCAGCTGCTGAACAAATGCTCAAAATCTGACATCGATGCACTGCAGTGTCGTGGACCAGCTCAAAAATACTGTCTTTGCCATACAGATAGGAATACCTGAGATTTTATGTGGAAAGATTAAAGGTATAAGAGTGAATGTCATACTTAATGTGGAACATATGGAGGCATATTTGGGAACATTCCTGGTGTCGTTATTCCCTAACTGTAACTCAGTATATACAGCTCCTGTACCTCAGATATCGCAGCAGGAGCGTATATACGGGTGGTATGGGCCTGTGTGACCAGGTTGTGCCAGACATTATCATAGCAGCTGTTTGTCCTGCAGGTTCCAGATGTTGGGCAGCTGTATTCTTGTTCCGAATTGTCTTGCTGGGGTCTGGAACCTCGGGCTGCAAGCCTGGCTCTGTTCGGGTGTGCAGGGCTCTGCCCAAGGATGCACTGAAGGTGCAGGTGGTCTGAGTGCTCGTTCTGGGCTTCCAGGTGTGTCAGGCCCTGCTCTTGCTCTAGACTGCGTGACACCTGGAAATCCCAAATAAACAGACAAGTTCTCTTCTTTCTACTTGAACGTATCTAGGGGTAAAAAAGATTGTCTGGGAAAATCCAATGCGGTAGCCTTAGTATATAAAGGAAGAGGTATTTTAAAGCTCACGTGGGAGCTGAGCACCTCTTGGACTCTTGCCTTAGAGGTTTTCTCCCCCCTTCACTCCGTCCCATGTCTCTGGTGGAGGGAAAAGAGACAGATTACTGTATTTCAAATGGGGCTTCCTAGGGGGGGTGGCAGGCTAGTGCTGCTTTACAGGTGGGGTCGTTGAAGAAGTAGTTGGGGTTCTCAGCTGAGGAGATACCTGGCCATTAATTCCTGATCTGTTTGACAGAAAATCAGATGAATTAAAGCCTAATAGACTAGAAATGTTTGAAATGGCCGGATGCCACAGGTCACCCTCTTAAACTGCTTGGGCTGTCACACAGGTACTGTCTGATGGTGCTCTGTGTGGACTAAATCTAGGTGGAAACTTTTGAAGTAACAGTGAAAAGTGGGAAAAAGTTGATAGAAAAAATGAAAATTTGTCTACTTGTTTGGTTGCCTAGCCATAACTAAAGAGATTTTTTTTATTTTTTAATTGAGCAGCCTGAAACTAACTGCTTTGTTAGTCCTGAATTCTTCTGAGAAGGATTTAGAATCTTTTGTAGGGAAACACTGAGCCAAACAATCTGTATTTCTTGAGAAACATCCACAACAAATGAGTCAATTCTGCAGTAGCACTTTTTTATAAGAAGAATATAACCTTTTTTCTTGGCCTTTGTACGGATGGGCTGTAGCATGTGGTTTTACATAGAGCTTTTATACCTATAACTTTAGTAATCAATATTTATATTGTTACATAATTGGATGTTTGCTATTCTGAAACTGGTAGAGCTCATCAATAACTACGTGCAAGCAGTATTGGTTTGGAAAGAGGTTTTCCTTTTGCTATGTATCATACTTTAAGGAAATCTATTTTAGAATATGGATACAGAATGTGGCATTTATGTATAAAATGGCTAGTTATTACAGTCACTAAATGAAAGTGCTTCAGAGTAATCCCCTGTTTTCAGGGGCGTAAAAATCCGCTTTGAACATTTACTCTGCAGTTAAAATTCTCAACACAGAGGCATATGCTGCTTTTTTTTTTTTTTAACCTTTGAGAAAAATACTGCAATTGCCTTTGTTTACCTGTAAGTGCTCTGCAGCTTTTTGTCCTCATTTGCCCATTATTTTTGTGTTCTTTTTTTTTTTCCTTAATGGTTCTTTAATATTGCTGCTTCTGTTTTGGGACTTCTGAAACAGTCAGAATAGCAGAACTGCAAACTTTTGCTGAAATTCCTATTCAGGACCTGCTTTAAAGATGACTGGAACTGAAGTCTTTCACCAAGAAAAGCATGAACATGGTTTCAGTCAGCTGTCTTAACACCACACTGTAAGTGTCAAGAAATTCACATAGTTTCTTATTAACAAAGGGCCTTAAGATATATCATCAAGGTAGTGAGGGTGTTAGAGACAACCACAAAAAGCAGAGAAGCTCGGTTACAAACTAAATACGAAATGCCTGTTTTGGTTTCCGTTTTGGAAATGTTTGAAGTTGAAAATCTCGGTGTTGTGTTAGATCTTCTCTTTGGATGTTTGTGCGAAACAAATGAAATATAATTTTGCACTTAAGGAACTGGACTCATAGCATGCTTATGCCTATTAAAAAAATCCTGAACAGCCTACCTTTGAGTTCATGTAAATTTATTCTTGAAGAGTTGTGACCACTGAGATGCACGTCTTAGCTCTTGAGTCTTGCAATACTGGGATTAAACTAGAGCTTGATGTTGAGATCAGAAACGTACTATGACTTGTTCAAACAATTCTGTCATCTGTGCTGATCTTGTTGTCAGTGCTGTATCGGCCCCCCTTGGCCTCAGTACTTTCAAAGGATTTTTCTAATGTACTTGCATTTTCTTAATGACTTTTGACACTCTTGCCTCTCAAAAAGGCTTAGAAAAAAATAGAAAAATCTGGAAGGACAGGACAGGGAAAGATTTCTCCTTATTTCTCACTTCCCTTTCCCTGGGATGCGTACAAGCAGACTGTGTCAGCAGAGTCAGGTGACATCCTTCCTCCTAGAAGCAAAGATTGTAAAATGAAATTGTCATTCCTGCCTTCTCATCCTACTGCCTGTCTGTTCTTGGGTGAACAGGGAATGCTGAATGGTGGCTCCCATCGACCTGCTAAGAGCCGTGCCTCCAAAAGGCCTGTGGCATGTAGAATAACTGAAAGCCTTGAACTCAGATGAAAATTGCAGCACTGCTTCTCCCTCGGTTGAGGCACGAGGTGCTCCCTGAGCGCTCTGCCTTGCTGCCCATGTGGACCAGGGGAAGGGGCATGTTCTGATGGACAGCAATATGAGGCTGTGTAACCTGGAAAAAGTTGACGTGGGACATCTGACGGCATTCATCTCAAAACCACTGGCTGCTTCTGCTTCCAAAAGAGCAAAGGAGGATTTGTTAATAGTGTGTTGTGAGATGTTGTTTGAAGCGGCTAAATTTCTAAGTAACAAACCAAGCTGTAAAGCTCCGTGTAAGAAGCTCACAGCTGCCGTGTGCTGCCTCCCACCCTTCACTCAGCAGCTGCCCGGCTGGAGCCTGAGTCAGAGGGATCTTTGGTCTGGTGAGGTCGCTCCCTGTGGCTGCCGAATGACATGAGACTCAGGAGGAGACTCCAAAGAGTGGGCAACAGCTCCTTCCCCAGCGGTGCTGCAGCACAGGGCTTGGTGTTTGCTGCCTGACAGGGAAGGAGCCACAGCGTTCCCTCCCTGCCTGCTCGTTCCTTACTTCCTCCACCCCTATGGCCTGCGGGGGAAAAGCAGTGTGGCTGTGTTACAGCCTTGGGGTAACACAGGGACACAAGCTCCAGCTGAGGAAATGCTTTGATCTTGGTGTTTCCTAACATGGGAGTGGCTGATTCTATTTATTTATTTATTTTCGTTACATTAAAGGGACATAGCAGCCTCATTGTATATCCCTAAATTTCAAGATGATGAGGTGGGTAGGTGAGAACTGCTCTCATGTTGTGCTGTACTGAGACATGTTTTCCTTGAAGCTGAAAGCTTCCATGTGTCGCAGTTTCCCACGCCTTAAACTGGTTCCACCACTAATGCACTGTCACTTAATGGACTGGCTGGGGCTAAAGGAAGTGGACAGACCTGCCTTGGGCTGGTATGTTGTTAATCAAAGTTACAAAGGGGGAGGTTTTCCTGTGGGTGGTGACTCCTAAGTCGTTCAAACATGTCACTTTTCTGCTTGTCGCAGTCTTGTTCCCCTCGCTCATCCCTCTGGACTACCAGGTGTCTGGCCCTGGCAGCTCTAGTTCGTAGGCTTCTAGCAGCTTTTATTTCAAGACCAAGGCACGTGACCACGGCACGTTACCGACACTGCTTACCTTGTAGAGCTCACCCCAGATTCTTTTGGACTGTCCTTTCTTATAGATCTTCTCCCGCGCTTCATCCCTGGAAGTGGATTGTGAGAGATATCAGCAACCACAGCCACAGGGTGACAGTGCTGACTCCTCTAAAGCCACTTACAGACCAACGAGGCGCTGAGGCCCAGGCAACACACAGCTGAGGACTTGTCCCCCCAACCTGGCCTCCGCCTTTGATCCACCCAACTGCAGAAAGTCCCTACAAACAGGCACTCTTTGAAAGATTCCTCTCTGCCCTCTGCTCAGTTTCTTACCCAACTCAAAATGTGAGTTTGGAGATAGTCTGGCATGTGTCAGGAAACAAATTATGAATAAAGACAAATGAGGCTCAAGGAAGCAACAGTTTGGTTTAACACATAGGGACAAAACAGGAATAAAAAAATCCCAAATTCAGCTAATTCCACTTTCCTTACTCCTCATATGGTAACAGCATCAATGGATGTGCTAGATGGTTCTTTAAAACAAAAGCTGGCTTTTCAGAAATGCAAATAAAGAATAATTCCCCCCTTCTATTTACCTTACACCAGTGTCTTCTGTCACCAGGTCTCGATCCTTGCCCTGATCATAAGATTCTGATGAGGCTTCAGCATTCTCCACCAGAGACTGCACATCACTTGCAGAAAGATTTGGTCTTTTCCTCTGGGATTTGGGGCCAAACATTGTTTCAAATGTTTCTGTGTCAAGAATGTGAACTCTGGAGGTCTAGGGAAAAACAAGTTGGTAAAAACCCCGCAAGCCATGGTTCTTCCATTTCTCATAACACACAGTGACCAAGACCTTCGTCCAACACAACTCTGCAACCTGTGACAAGAGTTACAGGCACTCTCCTAGCAATGTTTGAGTTTTCCAGCTTAATCTTTGAGAAACATAAGAGTGGATATTTAACAAGCAACAAAATATGTCGCCCTTGCCAAAGGCCTCTGCTTCAGTTCTTTTACTGTAAATTCTGTCAGACGTAATTTAAGCTACAATGACAAAAATTTAGCTGCTATCTTTGATCATTTCTTGTTTCTTTAACAAGTGGACAAATCTCACCAAATCCTCAGATTTTTGTCAAGGGTAATTAAGATCAAAATCGTAGATTTTAAAGCCTGTAATGAATGCCAACTTTTCTTGGAACAGGCTCTTAAAACATCTCTCTCCAAGCA